GGGGGCCGCCATGACGACGACACATCAAACAATTTTTTTTGTTTTTTTTTTAGACGAAGCGACGGATAGATGTGTTTATTTTCGAGGGGTTTAAGCATCGTCGTCAGGAATTTTACGTATCTGCCGCGCTAGACTCAGGACAAGCCTCCAAGAAAAAACTAGCAAGAAAGTCAAAAAAATAAAAAAATAGAATAAAAAAAGAAAAAGGAAAAAGAAGAAAAAAGCCATATGGAAAAGAAAAAGAAATTTCATGGAAGCCAATCCCACACGTGGACCGGTCGGGCTTTCACCATCAAAGTGAACGATGGCGTGTTCTGCCGCGATTCCTATTGGGCTGGACGTCGGCGGTGGAGTCCGGTCGGCGGCGGATGATGTCGTGGGCAGCTCTCCATTGGCTGCTTGCGCTCGTCTATCCTCTGCAAGCTCACTCATTCATAGTGGGCGGTCACTCTTGGCAATATATCAAACATTGTGTTGTGGTTTCTTTCCTCGAAGCTTTGCGGTAGAGACACAGCCATACGTGAACTCTGTCCGCATGGGTAAATTAAACCACAGGTGGAGAGTCTACGAACAGATTTCATGTCTGAAGTGATCCAGATATCCTGGAGAGTCAGAGGAGACATCAGAAGCCGATTGACTTTTGCCATTCAGATACTGATCGTCCATGGGTGGTAACCAGGAGCGGAACCCTGCTCCACGGCTCGGCGTCATCTCTCGCTTCCAGGCCCTCGTCAACCAGTCCACCTAAACGGCTCTTACGCCAGCACTCTCCGACAAGTTTGATACACCTCCGACATACTACACTAGTCAGGATGTTGAGTTGCGTCCGCTCAGGACTTTTGCCCTTGGCGATCCATAGTGGATCATGTGCCCCATCGCTGCGCGTTTGTGCCCATGCTCGTTCCCAATGGCAAGGGATGCTCTCGGTCCAAATTCCTTGGATTAATTTGATTTGATTTCATTGCTTACTCGGAATCCATATGAACCTCATTCTCCTCTGGGTTCCTAGAACGGGGATAGCGCTATTACCATCCGTGATTATCAATCCCCGTTTGATCATCTCCCTTGATCGATTCCATATTGTTCGTACCGTTTGGCAGATATCCACCCACATTTCTAACCCCCCCCTGTCATCAATTGCATGACTTATCTAAGGTAGTCGATCACTTGAGAATTTATTTACTTAACCGAACTTTCCTCCCCGTATTGCCTTTCTGTTGCCTCTTCCTGATCATCTTTCTTTATCCGGTGGACGTCAGGTTCCTACGCCACCGAACGCTGGCTGACCCTCCCGCGCCTCTGATAGTCCCATGTTTTCTTTTTCCTTGCTTCGTATTGTGATTTAAGATTAAATTACATCTCTCGATTCGGTTTAAACAACTGCAGAATTAGTGGGATTTTAAAGTGTTGTTGTGGGAAGCTAACATTTCGACTTCCCTGCTCCGGATCACGACATCGCTCTTGGCTGTCCCGTCATTTCACCTTAAATTTATCCACTCTGCCGCATTTTCCTCGATATTCAATTCTCCACAGGCTCTGGCTATGGACCTTGTTTAAGCACAGTGTTACATCAGCCTCTCTTATCAACGTCTTCTGTGCTCTTCTTTTCTTCCTTCCTCCGTCCCGCCTTCTTCCAAGTCACCCTACCGCTGTTTGACCTCATACTTCCTGGACTCCGAAGAACCACGGGGTGATCTATAGTGGTAGACTTTGGGCAGTCCCGCCCCCAATCCTACTTCAACCCCGGAGACCATGTCGGGCGATCTCAAAACCAAAGTTGGCCACGGCGTGGCCAAGGCCTTGGGAATCAAGCTCCCCTATCGTGACCCTTTGGGAGCTGGTGCTGACCCAGTCACCCGGGGCGAGTCGATGTTCTCCGTCGGCACCATTGACACATATTCCTATCTGGAGCCCGAACCCACGTCCGCCGAATGGCTGAAGGAGATCTGCCCTTCCTGGGCTCAGGTAGGCAGTTATTTCTACAGACTTTTCCCTTTCCTCTCGTGGATTACGAGGTACAACTTGCAATGGCTTCTGGGAGATATGATTGCCGGTAAGAGCCTTTCCTTGGAGCTTGCTTTGATCTACAAGTAGACCACATACTGATTGAAATGCAGGTGTCACGGTCGGTGCCGTGGTGGTTCCGCAGGGAATGGCCTATGCTAAACTGGCAAACCTACCGGTAGAGTTTGGTCTCTATTCCTCGTTCATGGGTGTTCTCATTTATTGGTTTTTCGCCACCTCAAAAGATATCACCATTGGTGTAAGTCATTCTGTGTCCATGTCAGCGGATCTCTTGCTGATCTAGTATCTTCCTTGTCCAGCCGGTGGCTGTCATGTCTACCCTGACAGGTACGATAGTGGCCGAGGCGCAGAAGAAAATCCCGGATGTCGAGACGCATGTAATCGCATCCTGTTTAGCTGTCATTTGTGGCGCCGTCGTTTGCGCTATGGGCCTGCTCCGACTCGGATTCATCGTGGATTTCATTCCTCTACCGGCAATTTCTGCTTTCATGACGGGTTCTGCCATCAACATCTGCTCCGGCCAGGTTAAGGATATGCTTGGAGAGACGGCCAATTTTTCGACGAAAGATTCTACATACATGGTTATCATCAACACCCTCAAGTATCTTCCCACCGCAAAAATCGATGCCGCCATGGGTGTCAGTGCTTTGGCGATGCTGTACATTATCCGCTCGGGTTGTAACTATGGCGCGAAGAAGTTCCCCCGTCACGCCAAGGTTTGGTTCTTCGTTTCGACTTTGCGGACAGTGTTTGTGATCTTGTTCTATACGATGATCAGTGCCGCGGTCAACCTGCACCGACGGGATCATCCGCGATTCAAGCTCCTGGGCAGCGTTCCTCGTGGTTTTCAACATGCGGCTGTCCCGCAGGTGAATGCGAGGATCATCAAGACTTTTGCGAACGAGCTGCCTGCTTCGATTATTGTCCTCCTGATCGAACACATTGCGATCTCGAAATCCTTCGGTCGTGTCAACAACTACACCATTGATCCATCCCAGGAGCTGGTTGCTATCGGTGTGTCGAACTTGCTTGGGCCGTTCCTTGGTGGATACCCTGCGACTGGATCGTTCTCCCGAACTGCAATCAAATCGAAAGCTGGTGTCCGCACCCCACTCGCCGGTGTTATCACTGCCATTGTTGTCCTCCTCGCCATTTACGCTCTGCCCGCGGTCTTCTTCTACATCCCGAAAGCTTCCCTTGCTGGAGTCATTATTCATGCGGTCGGGGACCTCATCACCCCACCAAACACCGTGTACCAGTTCTGGCGCGTGTCCCCCCTGGATGCCATCATTTTCTTCATCGGCGTGATCGTGACCATCTTCACCACGATTGAGATCGGCATCTACTGTACCGTTTGTGTGTCTGTTGCCATTCTGTTGTTCCGCGTCGCCAAGGCCCGCGGCCAATTCTTAGGAAGAGTCACGATTCACTCGGTGATTGGTGACCACCTGGTACAGGATGATGGGAAATATGGGTCTGCCAACTCCCCCCATTCCGACAGCGATGACAAAGACGGATTGAGTCGGTCGATTTTCTTGCCTATCAACCACACGGACGGATCGAATCCCGACGTGGAGGTGCAGCAACCTTACCCTGGTATCTTCATCTACCGGTTCTCCGAAGGATTCAACTACCCCAATGCCAATCACTACACCGATTATCTGGTCCAGACTATTTTCAAGCAAACTCGTCGCACCAATCCGTTCTCCTACGGTAAACCGGGTGATCGACCATGGAATAATCCAGGCCCTCGCAAGGGCAAGGCCGAAGCAGACCACTCGCATTTGCCCATCCTGAAGGCTGTCATCCTGGACTTCTCATCCGTCAACAATGTTGATGTGACCTCCGTCCAGAACCTCATCGATGTCCGCAACCAACTCGATCTCTACGCTTCGCCCAAGACTGTGCAGTGGCACTTTGCGCATATTAACAACCGCTGGACGAAACGAGCCCTTGCCGCAGCTGGGTTCGGCTTCCCATCTCCGGATGCGGGTGAAGGGTTCCATAGGTGGAAGCCCATTTTCAGCGTGGCTGAGATCGAAGGTAGTGCCTCTGCTGCAGCTCATGCAGAGATGGTGAACAACGAACATACCCAGCATGCTATCAAGAGCGAAGACCTCGAGCATGGCCTCAAGCACCATTCCGAGACCACCGAGCGTGAGACACACGGCATCGAAGAATCGTCCGATGCCAGCAGCACCCAGGACGACAAGTTGCAACGGGACCTGAAGGACAGCAAGGCCTACCGCAGTCGCCGAAGAGTCGCCATGGTGCAGGGTCTCAACCGGCCCTTCTTCCACATCGACCTGACTAGTGCACTGCAGAGCGCCTTGGCCAACGCGGGCGAGGACCCGGACCCTACCATGAATGTCCTTGATGCATAGTCGGTTTTTTTTTTTTGTTTGTTTGCCACATATGATACTCCCTGGTCGGAGTCCACCTTTATACTGCCTAGAGAAGGGCCTTTGACTTCTGTTATATAATGTTTGTTTCAAGCGAGTCCACCTACACTGTGTTGCTTTGATTGAAGTTGGTTGGAATCGTTGATAGGCACCTACATATACCCCCCCTGACATCTGGCTTTCGTGTATATATATAGACTTTTCTCGATGCACATATACATCGTCATCCATATACGTGCAGTCTTCAAAACTTTACTCTTTTTTTCTTGCAAATTGGCTCAGGAGAATAGTACCGTAGCTGTTTCCCGATAAGTAAACGGTGACAATGACAGCCGACCCATAGCTTCCGGCATAGTCTTCGTCGGCTTTGTCTACAACCTAATACGAGACATCCTTACTTCACGCATAATAGCATGAGCCTCCATACAAAGAACTCTAACTTGCAAGACAAGAGAGGTTAGAGGATCAAAACCCAGTTTTAGATCGTTACAACCTGTGAAGAAGTTTCATGCAAGCACCTCCAATAACGCCGCTGTTAGTCTAACTTAGGCTTGACTGAGCGACCCTGTTTTACTACCTCTTTCTGAAACCGCCACCACCCCCACCAAACTTTGATATCTTCTGACTCAGAGATTGTTTACTTGGATCACCCTCCTCAATGTTGTGCTCGGGAGTTTGCTCTAGATTTCGATTTGCCGGAGGGACTGGGTGCGTTGGTTGGTGAGAATTTTCAGACAAAGGGCTGTTCTCGTGGACAGGAGAAGTAACCCTCTCATGACCCGGAATGGTTGATGCAGCCGATGTGTCGCTCCGATCTGTAAAGGCAGAGACTTGCTCTGTTTGGGTGGGCACCGTCACGTTTGTCTGGGCCGAAGCCTGAGAGGAACCGGTTCCTTGGAGCATCGCAACCAGACCCGTTTGGTTTTGATTTGGGGGAGGGCTCGATGCTACCGAGCGACTGTCGGTGGAAGCAGGGGACCGAGAGCGGCCGCTGCCCGTATTATCCTCGCCATTTTGGTACGTGGTAGGAGATCTCGATGATGAGGGAGTCGAATTGGCACGTCCGATGGGGAATGGAAATCGTCGGGCATCTGAAGCACCCTTGAATTTGAGCAGCGTCCCATGTTTTTGTGCTGGTAGAGTCTGCAGCCGGCTGGGTTCTTTCTCCAGTTTGGTGCGGTCCCCTGGAACTGCCAGCCTGAGTCGTGGTGATCTGCTCATGATCCTCGGCTACTCGTCCCGTTTTGTCCTTATTAAAGGCCCTGGCGACATTTGCGAGATGGCCATAGTATTGGTTCGCATATGCCGCCCACTTGCTGAACCAGGCGAGCTCTGGATTATCGAGCCTTCCGCTTAGATCGCCCAACAGCTGCTCCGTGGTGGTCAGCGCCCCCTGGGTGATGTTGCACAAATCTTCCACTTTGGAGGTGTTGCGATCCACTTGCATCTTGAGCTCCAGCCACTCTTCTCGAGTGACAAAATCTTTCTCCAGGTGGAGGTTCATGTGTTCTTCGACTTGCACCGTCAGATTCCGCAGGGAGTTCTTCACCATCTCTTGCAGCCCCTCCAGGCCCTTCACTTTGTCCCTCACTTCTTTAAGGTCTGCACGGGACGTATCTTTCAATTTATCTAACTCTGGGGCTAATCTTTCTTCAACGAGCTCATGTCGATCCATCAGCGCTTCCATTTTCTGCCGTATGAGGTGTACATCATCGCCATGACGGGAAGGGCTGGCGATCGCGCCCGTCACATAGTTTTCCAACTCCAGGCCATCCAGCTCCAGCGGCGAGTAAATAATATGCTTTGGGGACATCGCCGCCAAAAGCTCCTTGGCACATACGGCTGCAGCTAGCGCAGCGTACGGCTGCCAGGCATCGTTCTTATGTCCATCCGCATAGTCGGAAACTCCCCGAATGGGGAGACAAGCGACGTTTGACATGACCCCAGTTGCCTCCATCTCAAAGCAAACCAGGTTCTCCTGCCTTGCAAGCCTGTCACGCACGTCTGCATTCTTCATCACCACGCTTGCCGTTCCGATGTTGCCTTGATGTATCCGAACGAGGTCACCCCGTCGCTGCTCGCGTGGATGCATTTTACTAATCAGCTCCGCTTTAGGCTTCAGGCAGTCGCAATCTCTCCCTTCATGTTGGTATTTTAATTCATAGAGTCGGTCCTCGCTTGGCCGGGTATAGTCGCTTTGCCCGCTCCCATATCTGTCACCGATACTCTCGATCCGTCGAGAAAGATCGATTGCCCTGGATCTCCGACGACCCTCCAGACCGGTGATCGCCGTTAACAGGGTCTGCGGGGGACTCAAGATCTGGCCGGTTCGCACAAAGCCATAGTCCGTTTCTTTGCCGAACGCATAAGGGATCACACGAGTCCCCAGAACCACGTCGCCCAAGCGGAGATCACGCCCTAAAGGTATACCCCCGCCGATTCCCACGAGGAGGACAAATCGGATCCGCGCAAATGTACTCTTCATGTTTTTGGCAGTCGTGCTCGCGTGGAGTTCGCCGTAGTGAGTCGCTGCCGGGACATTGATGACCACCGCATGCTCTCCCATGCGGCCCAAAACATACGACGTCCGGTCGCCCTGGCCAGGGACAATATGGCTCGAGTCGTATTGCTCGTCCAGGACTGCCAGGGCTGCATAATACTCTTCGGGGATGATGCAAATCCAACCGACCATATAGTCGGCTTGCGATGGGGATGGTTTGGCGACTGGTGGAGGAGGCATGGTAGGAAGCAAGTGGAAATCAGCT